AGGAGCATAGGCCTACACCATTAGCACTCCACCCAAGTTGCTTAAACTTAACATTCACGGAGGCAGTGATTTTTCAGCCAAGGTGCTGAGACATTCTGGGGGTGCTTGTAGATGGTCTGAACCTTGCTTGATCAGCTCAAGCTGATCGAGCACCTACGTTATAAGCGGCAGAGGGTGTTGATTATGAATGGTACTCTGGTTCAGTGCCTGATAATCAGAGTGGAGGGACTGATTCTCTGCCAACAACTGCCATACCTGATCTTCTAGCACTTACAAGGCGAAGGCCATTGGTGTCAGCTAGTCTAGCTCGAGCAGGTCTGGAGGCACCAGTCTGGAGTTTGCCTCCATGCTGATCTCCTGCTGCTGCATGTGGAGATCCAGGCAACTTGTCATGCTAGGACATGGGCAGCCAGGTCTGGGGGTTACCTTAGGGTCAGGAGAAGCAGCTGAGGTCCAAGAGGAACATGCTGAATCAGAGGATAGTGAAGCCAGAAAATCTGCCCGAGGAACCAAGTCAGAGATCCAGGGGGTCAGGAGGCTAACTGGGTTGGGTATCCAGGAAATTTAAACTAAAATTGGGTTTCCAAAAGGTCAGGCCAAACTCAAGGTTCATGAGCAGGCCAGGTCAGCTATGCAGAGAGTATGTCAGGAAGCAAGTAGCAGCCCAAGCCAAGGGTGCAGCAGCCTGGGTTACAGGGTTGAACCTTGCCCAGACACTTCCTCTGCTGAGTCATGGGTTTCTAGCTTCAGCCCTTTCTGATTATCTGGGAGACAAAATAATTTGGTCAGCATGTGTAAAAAATACACCTGTTGGATAGGTTTTTGCTGCTGCTTTCCAAGGAATTTGGGAGTAGAAACACAGCTTGGAAAGTTCAGAAATGAAACTGGGAGGTACAATTTACTGAAATGATTGTGGGATTAGAATGACAACAGGAATGTATTTACCTTTAACTCCTAAAGATTGGCACAGACGTTACTATTTTATGTGTAACAAATTTGAAAGAAATGTTGGTCCTGATTTAAATTAAATTTTCCCAATTTGAAAAATTTTAGCCAAAGCAGTTTAACAGATTTTTATGAACAACTAGGAAATGAGAAATAATTAAGAATTGTATCACTAATTATAGACATTGTTATTGTTGCTGTTGATTTAAGTATTGATGCACCTTTTTCACTTGAGTAGCTAGTCAAATTTTGGTCTTGTATTTCACGTAGGAAGAGAAACCGATGATGGAGTCAAGTACCTTTGACACAGTTCTGTTTTGAAAAAGCAGGACTTAGTAACTTTTTTCTAACATGGGAGGAATCCAATACCCAGGGTTTCTTTACTCACAGCTTCAATCTCTTTCAGCCAACACCCATCAAAATGATTATGCATATTCAGGCAACTTCAGGTTTTCTTGTCTATCAGCTCCTTTCAGTCGTGTACTCACCCACTCATACCCACCTGTTGCCAAAACCACATGCAGCCTCAGCCCCTCCATCAGAGTGCTTGAGTTCCTGAGCACTCTTGCATCTGTCTTTGTTTTGGGTTGAAACATATACTTAACTGTTGCTTACTATATTTAAAAAGCACGGTTGCTAAATCTAGCTGTTGGAATAAGCTTTAACCCAAATTAATATGTTGAGAAAGACAAGAGAGGTTTTCATGTACCCATGAAATACCCCACCAGTATTCGCATAGGTGCATTGGGTATTTGAGCTTACATACGGGTAGACACATGCCTGTTGCACATAAATGAGTTCCTGCAAATGCAGTGGATATGTACTCTTGAAGGAGAGGTCAGAGCTAAATGGGAATACATACTGCAGCATGTGAATTCATAACAGTAGCTCAGTTGACCATACCAAGATACAGTAGTCAGAGACGTGCATATGTTATGAGGCTGTGAGTCACTGTTCTCAATATTTATAGGCAGTGTAAAAGAACATACAATGGGGATATGTGCAAAAAAAAAAAAAGCTTAAGCTGGTTTCAGAATTAAAAGCATATGTCCTATCTCCTTTTTACCTATGCATAAATGGTATGAGGCTGGTGAGGGCCCACTTAAGGTAGTATTTCAGTCATTCATCTATTCTTGGACAAGGATAGGGGAAAACAAAAGCAGGCAGCTAAACACTCTGGGATGGTACTGTACTATACTGTAGACTACACAGACCACAGAATTTTGAAGTAGACAGGAAACTGAACCAAAAGAACAGAAGTCCAAGGCAAAGTGTTACTATTGATAATACAGTCTAATAGGGTCCAGGAGAGAAGTGGTTGGGGCCCAGAGGGAAGTCTGATGTTGTACATGGATAACATTATTCAAAAACTGCAGGGAAGATGTCACGGAGATGCATCATTAACGCTGATGCTTTTCACGTTAAGCTCCCCTCTGGTGTTACCAAGGGAAAAGTTTCTGTTGGAAGTTACCAGTGCACTTAGGAAATGCATTCATCATGTGCTCTCATAAAATGCTGACAGCTTGAGTAGAATAGAATCCCAGGTTAATATTATGTAGGGGGAGGTGAGAAGAGATGAAAAAATAATGGAGAGCTAATAATAGAAAGAGCTTCACTTTCTGAGGAGGTAGATGGAGACAGCATAAGTCCCCAGAATAGGACTAGTCCCTAAGAATATGTCTATACCTGTGTTTAGGACTGACACTGAGGGTTGCCTTTGCTAGCTTGAGCCACATGAGCTGGCTCTCCCCACCTACATTATCTCACGGCATCTGCAGGTGTGAAGCGCAGCAAGACAAGTAGTGGATAGATCAGTTCCTAGAAGAGCTCTGTTCAGGGAAGCTCCCTATATCTGTTCTTCAAGCAGAGGCCTTCTAAGAGTTAGTCCGCCCTTCTCTGCTGAAGGAAAGATGAAAAATGAAGGTACAGAAGTTCCACAAGTCAGGAATACGGAGTTGTAGCAGTGCTGCTGATGAACTTTCTGTGCTAGGTCCTACTGCCCTCAGGGGAGTAATGAAAGAAAAAGATGAAAGATGGGCTAGCAGAAAACTTAACATCGATCTTTGAGGCTCAGGAGAGCCTCCAGAGAGAGGGTAAACTACAGGCAGAGGGTCATTTAAAACAGCGATTCTCAACCTTTTCCACCTTATGTCTCACCAGCTATTGGTCCCAAAAACCCTGGTCCCACCATGATAAATGATGAGCCAAAGCCAGAGGGAGAAGCTGGGTGGGTCCCCCAACGGCCGTTCAACAAGCAAACCCAGAAGTGCCGGAGGCACACAGTGGCAGAAGTGCTGGCGGCGAGCCCACCGGTTCTCTGCATCCCACCTAGACGGCCTTCATGTCCCACCAGTGGGCCACATCCCACCAGTTGCAAAACACTGATTTAAAGTATTTTTAATGTGGATAATCAGCTGGGTTGAGGCAGAGATTGGACTAATACTAGTGTAGATATAGTGGTTGTAATCAGAAATGCAGCTCCCCACTGTAACTGAGAACACTTTGCAGGAAGCAGTCTGAGTTACAGCAATCCCCTGGATTAAACAGAACTTCACTGTTGGTTCCAGGGTGGAGGGGAATCTGGGTGCTGACTGCCAACCTGCAGCTGATATTCCCCCCCCCCCCGGCAGCACCCCCTCCCTCCGGCCGTCCGGC